CTTTTTCCCTGCGCTGTTGGCGACTAAAGCAGAGATAGATTTTGACTCAGGTGCAAACTGAGCTGTTTTGCAGACGCCCACACCAGCCCGTTATCTTACAAATACAATACACCAGAGACAAGGCATCTGTTGTGGCTGTGTGTGCATGTGTGTGTGTGTGTGCGTGTGGGCGTGAGGATGTAAAAGTATGCAGGGGTGTGTTTGTGTGTTTGTGGGTATGTGGATGCTGAAAATGATGGAAGACAAACAGATGATTTTTTTTTTAGCATCACTTGTCCTCTCCACCTTTCTGTTACCATAATGCAAACATCTGACAATACATTGTGAAAAACCAAAAAAAACAAAGGGAAGGATTGATCACTGTGTAAACGTCAGGGTATGTAACACAGCAGTGTGCCGTTATGATAGCGGTTGCATTACACTGTAGCAGCTGTTTCCACACTGAATTATCAAACCTATTTGTATTGCCAGGATAGGAGCTAAGGGATAAAGAGGGAAAGTGTAAATGTAAAACAAGTCATGACAGAATCTGACAAGAGACAGAAATATCCTCTCTCCCCCTCTGGTGTTCTCCTTTACACTCTCTCAACCATTTTAATCTCCCCCTTAATACCATCCCTTCCAGACTCAACTTTGATCACTGTCATTTTGCAAACTTACAGGATTGGAAGGATTGAGACAAATGCATTATTCATCCCACACACCAATTTGGGTCTCCTCTGCTGCCTGTAATGCACTTCTCTCATCTCCGTGTCAGTTTTGTCTTTTGTTCAGTTTATGTCATAGGACAGCACTGATCTTTGGGGATCTGTAATGGACTGCAAAGTTTAAAGACAAAATATCACGGATTCACACATTTTAAGCACTTTAGAAAGAATATAAATTTATAATACAATCACAGTGTGTAATATTATATGGAAATGCATTGGCTTTGAAGAACACATAAATTGCATATTACTGTTAAATTCTTAATTTAGCAAATATGTACATGTACATCTTCATTTCATTCCTACAAGTAGTGCCCCTCTCTAGTAATGCGGCTTCAGTTTTTGTTCAGTGTCAGAAGGCATGTTGAACAACAAACAGTAATACTGCCCTCGTATTTGTTTCACGGTGCAGATATTGTCTAACCACCATCATGATCGCCTTGAGCTGGAGAAAGCACTAAGCTTTTCCAGCCCCACCTGCACCTCAGTAAATCACACCCAGAGCTCATGAGTCAGGAGCCACTGCAATAAAAATGAACTGGAAATCACTACAGAGGCCTTGAACAGTTGATTCATTCTCTAGTTAGATGGACTAAAGACTAATCTGACGATTTGAAGGAAAAGAAAATCGGACTGTCAGTCCATCAAGGTTGCATTATTCCCAACTGCTGGATATATTCAGGTAGCAACACAACAATATGATAAAACATGTGTAGGTTGTAGCATGAAAAAACAAACACAATTTTAGGCACTCAACTGACTGTTCAATTCCGACTCTCCCTTAGTTATTGTTAGCCTATTAAGATTTCTGTCTCACATATATAGTTAACAGTGGTGATCAGGGTAGATTTACTCGACACCCTCAATAATTTTTTTGCGTCCTTGATTTCTCGCACAGGTAGAAATAAGCAGGCTTCTCATTTTTAGCTGGTGACTGTCAATTTTGTCGGCTGAAGCCAGCAGAAAGAATCAGTTGTGGCTAGCTGGCTAAGTAAGTAAGTCGTTGTAAACCTTGTCTTTTTAATGTTGCCTGTAAAATGAGAACCTTGTAATGGTGGCTACTTATGGCTACTTACATGATATTATGCTAAGACTGAGGATATAAAGGCACCACTTTGCTACAACATGATCGAAGAGTGTCTGAACCCCCTTCCCCCACACCTTTCTGATGTCAGAATAGGGGAGGCTGCATCCGACAATCTCCAAAACCGACATGTCGACATGCACGCTTCATGTAGCTAGCACAGAGAGTAAGCAGGTTTGAATTCTCTCTCAATCTTTTTTCAGTCTGTTACTTTTTATGTGTAAAAAAACACCAACATTATGTAACGCTTTCCAAGACGGACTGTTTAAAAGTGTGTGTGGTTATCCTCATATTTAATTAATTATTGTGTCTTGTCCCTCTATCCAACAGCTGGCTTTTCATTCTGCCCTCCAATGTGGTTAGCAGACACGTTGTACAGACTATTTCTTTTATTTTTTATTTTTTGACATAAACCAACCTTGCAACTTAATGATCCATGTAGAAGACACGCAAATAAAGAAACATACAGTAGCTCTTATATTGCAATAGAGTTATTCCTATTGCAGTATTATATGATTATTTCATGCTACTGTAAATTACATACTGTATTGCTTGACAAGCAAATTCCCAAAATCCAACTGAGCAGGACACCGCTCTTACTACTGCCATGAAACATGAACACATGCTTGAACATGTGGAGAAATCCACAGGCCTGCTGTGCGTACGTATGGTTGCTAAGCTATGTTTTGACAATCACTGTTCGGAGGAGGGGTCAACTGGATGGTTAAAATTAAACAGCCTTTATTAAATATGGATTAATACATTATGAATATACGTCAGTGTGTAATAGCCCATAAAAGCCAATATTTGTCTTTTTATTTGATACCATCAACAACAATTGGATTGTTCATACCACACTCCACCTACGGAAGAAGGCATGTCTTTTTTCCTTTTTGAACTTACATGATGAGACACATTCAATTTGCATCTGAAACTGCAGACCAGGCCTGTTACATTAAAGGCGAAACACAGCGAACCATTGAAGTGGTGGGAGGACATTTGTCTTGTTTTGCAATGTTTCATGCAGTGCAAAGTCACCAACAGTTCGGTCTTATGTTGCACCATTCTTCATTTGTGATCTGTCATTCCACCCTGGCGCAAGAAGTGAGAGATGCCAGTTCAGACGGCCAGTCAGCATGCCATATTTAATTTGGAATGTCCAACAAAGTTTCACCCTCATTTACTTTCTTAACAACACAATAGAGTTATATTGGGAAATGTCTCACTTTAAGAAAGGGTTTCTCTGGAGGTAAATAGATTTGATTGTGGGGTATTGAGGGGAAACCATTTGAATTCAATGGAAGCTGTGAAGTGAATAGAAATGCTGCCCTTTCAGTGCAAAATTGTGTTTCATTTGTTCTGTAATCAGCAAGCAATGCCCGCTGTTGTTTTTTGCCACTGGCTGAGTCTGTGTCAGATATTATTTGTCAAGAAACCTGAAAATGGAAATTATCAAAACATCGCTCAAAGACTGATATTTTTCTGGAATGCTAACAAGATTTTAAACTCTGAATAATCCTTTTCTTGCCTCCTACTACAATCCTCCCACATTTTCCAAATACACTTGAGTCAATTATTTTAGTATTGAAATGCTATTTTTGTGGAGTGGCAGTAATGGCTCTGCTGGAGAGACCTCACATGACAAAGGACAAAATAACAAAGAAAATATCTCCTTGGGGATAAAGGGTGGCTCTTTTCTGGCAGAGCAAGTGTTGTTTTAAGGTGGTCCAAAGGGATTTGCACCCAATTTCCAAGGAGTCAGAGGATAATGCCATCAACAGTTTTGATATTCTGATCCTGGGTTTATTTAAGAGATTCAGAAGAAAAGTCTATCTCAGGATAAAGACAGAATTAACCCAAGTGCCTGTAATACCTGCAGTTATAGCACTGACTTTATCTCCACAAGTCTTTAAGGTTTCTCTTGAAATACAATTATTTACATAGCGTATTTGACAGCAACAAAGAGTGTACTGTATAATATGGACAGAAGCAGTGATTACACAGGGTATGATCAAAACAATGAAAGCGCCAGAAGAAAAGACTTCTGGCAGTGACACTGGCTCCGTGTCGATGTGGGATCTTTTATCTGGCACAGTTTTGGTCCAGATTTAGAAATAGATCACATCAATTTGCAGCTCTGCATGTGTTGTCAATAAAGTGAGATAAACGTACAAAAATAGCACAGCTAATCCATTGTGAATGTTGTATCTTTTGTGTTTTTTAAACAAAAACGGTCTGCAGACTGTACCACTCAACTTTAAAAAGATACAATCTGCATGTTTGCCCCCTGAGATTTTTGACAGGGTTTTGGTTCAGTTATCTACTAGAGCACATGTTCAGTATCAGTCGGCATAGGAATTTGGAATGATCATCCAAGTATATATCAATTTTACTGGGGTTTGCTCATTAAATGCACACATGTGCTGCGGAACATTTACAAAGAAAGACTTTCCTTAAAAACAATAGTTGTTACGTAGAAATTAGAATTACTTGGCATTGCTTTTCAAGAAAGAATAATATATGTTTTTGAAATAGGAGGAGATTGATGCTAATCTCATACCCGTACGGTTAACATGAGGCTATAGCCAGTAGCTGGTTAGCTTAGCTTAGCATAAACACTGAAAAGAGGGGGGTACAGCTAGCCTCACTAATACATTATATCTAAAAAAACAGAGTAAAAATGTACACACAATATAAAGTATGAATTAGTGAGCTTAAGAGGTGCTGGTAGGTGGTTTTCACCTTTGGGCAGAGCCAGGCTAGCTGGCTCCAGTCTTTCTGTTAGGCTAAGCTAACCAGCTATTGGCCATAGCTACATATTTTTACCATACATGAGAGCGGTATCGAACTTCTCACCAAACTCTCTGCAAGAAAAGTGTGTTTCTCACATGCCAATCGATTGTTTTAAGCTGAACAGTCAAAATTGATATGTGCACAGTGATTTGAATATGCTTAGCTTTGGGCGATGATGAGACTTATTATTCAATGGTAGATGCATCCACACAGGCCCATCACAGCTCTTTACGGTGAGGTAAGTGTGTTGTTGGCCTTCCATCATTTTGACCACCCCCTGTAAGAAGTAAGTTAATAAAATGTAATTGATTTGAACAGGTAAAGCATGCATTACATCTAGTCAAAGTAGCAAGATGTTAAACAGTTATGTTAGATCTTTATTCCTGAAGAGATTGGGTATCATACAATGTCTTTGATGCATTTAGAGAAAACCAGATTTCATGGCATGGATTCAGTAAACAGAATGAATATTGGGCTGTGGTAGACCCTGTGGCTATATAAAGATTATAGTCATTATAATATTATTGCTTTCATCACAGAGGAGGGAGATTATGGGCCCTTAAGACAAAGGTTATGATTTCCTTATAGGCCCACATCTAAATCTAACCAGTAACACCTAAGTTGAAATTCTAATGGAGTGTTTTGTATGACCACACAGGCCTACAGTAGATTAAGTTGATTTTTGTTATATAATGGAACAAAGTGATTGCACAGTACTGAACTACTGCTCTAAGCAGTTAATTAATGACAAAAATGCCCATAAATGCTTTCTAAAATCACTGGGGATTATATAATGATTGCTTTGTGCTTATCAAGTACAAGTATTGACTCTTTCAACTTAAGTGTTACTTTAATAAGCAAGTGAAAATTGCGTAGCATTGTGCCCAGTTCAGATGGGTCATTGATGCCAATAATGCATTTCACATCAAATGTGAAATATGCATCATCTAGCAACATACTTTGTGTTTGATCAACTAATAAATTCATAAAATCGCACATGGTAAAATAGTCTATATATGAAATACCAAAAATCCAGCTGTGAACAAATGTGAAAATGGAAACAAGGTAATATAGTTAAGGCTAAACATCTTTGTCTATTACCTTTGTATAGCTAAGTCAATAAGAGGAGCATGCAATCAACATAACATTGCCACAATTTTACATTAAACAACAAAAGCAACCAACTCAAAACAAATGTATGTGCCTTTTGTCACCACAAATTAGAACCATGTAATGTAGGTTTTCCACGTGGTAAATCATATGGCTTTGTGCAATTTTTCACTGTCAGTAAATTCACTAATGAAATTGTTTTTGTAAAATAATATATCAATAAATGTCATGCCAGAAATTATTGAGATTCTGTTCTACATGCGCTGTTTCTTACATGCCAGAGTGTGCTAATTGTACATCATCCTAAAAAAAATATCAGAGGTCTTTCGTCATAGCATGTACACTTACATCCAGGGACAAATGTGCTTAATTCCATCACCCTACTTTATATAAGGTATTTGTGCACATATTCTACATTTCTTTTAATATAAGAATATTGTCCATTAATAAATTAGGAATAGTACAAGGACTTCAGGTAGGGAAATAAAGGTGGATGGCATAAGTTAAAATATGTTGCCTGCTTTATGTAAAGCGATCTGAATTCATCTTTCTGAGTTTAGGTGGCAGGTGTCCGTCCATCCTGCCCCCTCCTCCCCCAGCCAGTCGCTGCAGCTTGGGAGGTAAGTCCGCCACTGACTTACTCATGGGCTCTGTGTTGATCTTGGAGGCCTTACCAGCCTGTTTATCATCAGAGACACCAGGAACAGAGCTGATTCGCTGCAGCTTCATGGGCAGGTCTCCAAAGCTGTAAGTCATCTCTGAAGTAGTGGAGCTCATCCTTAGTAGCTTCTTGGGCAGGCCTTCCCGCCCTGTGATCTTCTGGAGCTTGGTGGGCAGCTTGGTGGTGCTGTCATTGTCCTCCAGGCTCTCCAGGCAGTCCAAAGAGCTGTTCTTCTCCCCGCTGTTGCACAGGGATGGAGCCATGAGGGGCGAGGAGAGAAGCAGAGCCTCCTCCTGCTCCTTCACACTGTATGGAGTGGTGGGCACCTCGAATGTGGCGTGGAACTGAGAGTAGTCCACCTTGAAGAAGCCTTCCTCCAAGGAGATTACCGGGAAGAAGCGGTGTCCCCAAAGAACCTCGTCCTCAGTGTATGACGTCCTCGCTTGGCAGGTCATCCCTGTAAAAGAGAAAATAAACATACAGAAAAAGACTGGATGAATTGACAGGTTTGTTTGTAGAAATTAATGTTGAGGCTTCAAAAACTATGACATATTATGTGTCATTGTTCTGCTACAGCTCCACACAACATTTTAGGATGAAATGTTTCATGACTCTAGTATTAAACAACAGAGTCCTGATTTAATTATATGTTTGGCACCGTTCCATAAGAATCAATAATACGGTATTCACAAGGACTTTTGCCATTTTCAGATCACAAACCAAACAAATAAAAGTGCCTCAATAAATAAGCACTTACTGTATTACAGAGCCAGCTGCCTAAATAAAAAGCTTAATTGATTTTTTGGTTTCCAAACATGATGTTTATGAGCAATTTCCAGCCTAACATGAAAAATAATTAAAAGCACAGCTGAGTTATTTGTTGTGTGTGTGTGTTTTATAGTGGCTAATTATTTACAGTTTTATACAACACACAGTCCTCCATACTTAGTTATTTTTTGTCAGCGCAACATCCTATCTATCTATCTGTTTATCTATCTAGACGGGATTGTGCTACCTTACAGTATATGAGCAGAAATTAATCAGAAATGCTGCAGTACACTTAAATAGGCCTTTTTTCTACCATAGAATAATAACATTTACAGAAAACTACGGTAATGCAATACAAAACTATACATACTTGTATAGGATAGTGCTAACACTGTCTTCTGAATTTGGCCACAACTTCTCATCTACATCACACCTTAAATCCTCTGCAAATAATCTAGTCTGATTCCTCACAATCGCCCAGACATCCAGCACTCATTGAATCCAAGAGGGACATCTGATCATGTTATTGGTGGTCATACATTTTTCATCTTCATGAGGAAAAGAATTCCTCTATATGGGGTTAAGGAATGGAGATTAAGGTGGAAGGAAAAGTGACACTAGGATAGGCTGTAAACCACTCTGTGACTGGTTCACCTCAAGTCATTCATAGACATCATCAAGGAATTAACACACACAGTATGTTCTAGTTAGGAGTTAATATATTTTTATTTATTTATATATAGTAGAGTATATAGTAGGATCTAGTATGTATTTGTAACAAAATGTAAGAAATTGTAGCTTCATTTACAGTAATGGTGTGTTATCTTAGGTGCTGAGCATAATAGTTTTTATAATAGTATGTAAACATGTGCAAAATAAAATACACATAGTTTTGGTGGTGGTTGAGTTTAAAACACGTGGTCATTTTGTGTCAAACATTGTCCACAATGACTTCCGTTGTGCTGACTGTGTGAAGAGATTTGATGTGTGTTACCAAATATAAAATAATTACAATTCGTTCTGAAATTACTGTAAATTAGACATGGGAAAATTCAATTTTAATTCACAAAGTAAACTTGATATGAATATAATGTTCATATCATATTAAGAATAAGACAATGCATAACATTATATATAGGGAAAAGGTAACGCTTTGAGAGGCAGGATACTTGTTTCGGTTAGTAGAAAAACAGCTCAGGTCTTCCCCACATCACCTCTTGTGCTACTTAACAGTTCAGTCCACACTCTAAGCTTAGCTAGTAGCTACAAAAGATAGAGGATTAAGATAATCAAATTGCTGGAAAGGCAAACCCACAGGACTAACGGCTGCAGGCAAAGGCTTCAGAAGGTCTCGCTCACACTAAAAAATTCTTTGGAGCTTTTAAAGGGAATCCAATTTAATCCAAAAGACAAAACGTAACATGAAGAATCTGTTACATAACATTGTTCAGTTTGAGAAAAGCCTAAATGAGTGTGACAACTTAGTTAAAAGCATTAAATTCTGTCATTTGGAGATTACAAATTAAAAGAAAATATCCTATTTTGCATGTTCTGCGCTTATGTGTGTATGCGTAACTGCGCTCTGCAAATTCAGCACAAGATAGAAGATTATGATACACTTTGAATACATTTTCCCTCAAAGGGGACTGTGAATTAAATCCCTGCTTAAAAACTCCCCTCACGTCCTCAGAAACAAATTAATGCAATTAGCAAAATCATGTGGTTTGAATTAATGATCAACAACTTTTTTCCATGCAAAATTATTGGATGCTTATTAGTGATTACTCATCACCATTATTCAGCAGCTGCTATCATAGCTGTCTGTGCCTGTATCATACCACACTGCTTACAGCAAAGCCCTATCCATCTTATTATGGTTAGCATTATCCTGAAAAACAACTTTCATTTCTCACTGAAAGTGAGTATAGAAAAAATCTATAATTAGATTTACAACTTAAACAAAACACAAGGTTGTTTATATCAGTCCAAAAAGCCCTTATTTAGGCATAGAGGAATGGCTGGGGGCACACATGTTAAGGCTTGTTGAAATCCATTAGGAAATCAGCGAATGCAGTAGGTTATTATCAGATGTTTTAATTACCAGCTTAACATTGCTCTAGCAGCAGTTGGGTCCAAACTAAGACGAAGCACTCATTCGCAGTGAGACACCGCTGCTGATTGCGAGGATGTCATCACCGAAACTAGAGACATCTGTGATTCCGCACGATTCCCAAGGTCATAAAATAATTCACTGATAACAGCTCTGTACACAATCGCAGATGTGCAAGAGACTGAACATCAAATGCGTTTGGGGTATTCAAAGCATTACTTCTGCACTATTGCTTCAGAGTCCCGGAGCCTTTAGGCATATGGAAGTGAGCTGCAGTGAATAAAGTAGGCAAAGCTAATGAGAACTTTAGGGCCAAAGCGATTGAAAGTTAAGTGTGAATGGAAGTCTTATTGCATTGTGAGCCTTTTAAGCTGCCTCCAGTCAAAACATAGTCACCATTTGATCATCCGCAGGCTTATATATACTGATTCTGAGAAAAACTGTGGTGTAAAATGTGTTTTACTGCTGTTGCTTTTGGTTTTCAAACAGCTAATCACCACCAGAAGTCAGCCGTGCCTGCTCTATTGAATAGTACAGTCGATGCGGCGACGTTAACTGGACATCCATACAGTAAATACAGGGCTGCAACATCAATAGCGACTTTGCTGGTGCGTGATAAGAAAAGAAGGTTGCGCCTAAAGCAAAAGGTTGCTACAGTAATACACAAGACACAAATAGCTTCATGTTACATCTATTAATAATGCTCAATTGTCCCTGCAGATGGTGTATGAGTTACTGTAAGACCTCTGTCTCTCGAAACCCCTAAACCCTGGGACTGAACCTGATTCCCTTCCTCTAAAGCCACTCAACCCACAAAAAAAAAGTCTCACGAACGTGGATGGTCTAATCAGCTACCCTTCTTCAAAACAAAACAATGGCACTAGACTTAATCATGGTCATTAATATACATTTAATTTCCATACATTATTCAAGGCTTGGTGCCTGAGCCATGTATAATTATAGACAGGGTTGCATCACATAGTATGTACAATTGTGTTGCTAAAGACCAGCTGTTCTGAAACACCCACACTCATATGGCGCACGGCATTAACAGACACTGCAACGGTAATGAACTGTGTGCCTCGACTTTCACTGAGGCCACGACACAGTTCGATTTGTGATGGAAATACACACGCTATGTAGAAGAATATCTTAGACAGAGACCTCAAGGTGAAAGCAGAGTACAGTTAAACAGCTAAAAATAGCACAAATGTAAAATAATAAAACCTGATTTTGAAATTTTCTGCAATTATTTAATATAATTCCTAAAAATAGCAATCCAGTCACGTACCCATGTCGGTGTGTATTTCGTATTACTGGTAAAAGCTTATGTAACTCTAAAATACACGCCTGCCTGGGACTCAGTGTTTCTATGGAAACAAAACTGTAGGAATGTGTGCATGCGACAGCCATAAACCTTTTCATTGCTGAGTTTTGTCAAAAGTAACAGTGACAACACAACACTAAAGTCTCTCTCTTAGATCACGACAAAAATAACAAACACCCAAACTGCACAAAATGGATTTTCCATTGTGGACAGGGTCAAATCATCCATATGACTCCAGAGTCAGACCAAAATGGTTTTACTGTCACTGAAACGTGACCTTTTGCAACACTAAACCCCAGCTCAAAGTGCCTTTGTTTTGGTGGTTTGGGTAAATCATATATTTTGGTGACTTCTCATCAGTGAAGGCTGGAACCCACATTACAGATGTCATCTTTATTAAAGCATAGAGCCATTTTCTCTTCCTCTATCATCTATCACTCTTAGTATATTATAGTGGTTTATGTCTGTGTCATCTTCATGACATTACATTCTTTATCATACAAACGTGTGTCATAAACACATGCTGCAGGGGAAAAAAACAAAACAAAAATGTTGTCCTATCTCTGCTGTTGTTTTCTGCTGGGTAAGAAACACCTCAGAATACCAGTTAGGCTAATTAGTTAACATCAACTTAATTTATTTTGAGTGAGCTTGTTTATTAGAGTAGATTAGATTAGATTAGATTATTTTGTGTATGTTTTTTTGTACTGCAACTAGGTACACCTGGCTTTTTTGTTGATGTTGTATGTTTTTTCCTTTATTCCACATAATATAAAGAGAGACAGGAAGAGAAAGGGGGTGGTGACATGTAGCAAAGGTCGCCAACTCTCTCACCAGGAATGTTGTGGTTACACTGTGTGCATCTTTAACCACATGACCGTGGTAAAGTCAAGATGCCTGACACCTGGCTCTATCTAATACCAATAAACTATTTCAATACAGTGTATATCATTGCTAGTCTGTGTATATCGTATATCTTTAACATGTCTTTGACTTTTAATGAACCATGAAGGCTACAGTCACACATATACAAACGCAGGTGAGTTACCATCGCCTGCCGAGGCAAAATGTGGGCAGTGGAGGATGTGCTTCAGTTTGCTGATTTGTAGTCCATTTAAGAGGTCAACCACACACACATATTTGCTACTGATTGAGGCTGCGACTTCGCCGGTCAAAGTTCACCAATGTTGAACTCCACATGGAGTTAAGATGTGAATCTGCTTTGCAATCAAAAGCTAAGGGTTTGTTTTGC